TTAACATCTTTATACCTCCCTCTTTTTCCCTAGTAATATTGAAAGGATTACCCTCTTTGGCCCCTAGGTGGTTACTGTGTGATTTTACTGTTATTAAATCTATTATAAACTGCTTCATTATTCCTGACTCTCACTCTGTCACTCCTTTAATCCTCCCCTCGCCCTCCCAGCAATCCCGTGCCGTTGGCCCCCAGGAAATCCGAGAGCGAGCCACAGTCTTGCAGACGGTGTTTGAAGATTACGTGCACTCCAGTGAGAAGAGGATCTCCTGGGCAAAGAAAGGTGGGTGGGTTTCTTAGGTGACTGTGGAGCGGCTCCCCCGGCTCCCCCGCAGAGCTCGCCCACCTCTTCCAAACACCCCCAGGCAGCTGAGAAGCCAACAGGCGTCTCTGCCCACCAGCAAAAGCCTTCAATCTCACTAATTCTGCAGGGTTTGGAGACAGGCACGGAAGGCTTTAAAGTGATATTAAATGTTAATTTCATCCTTCCCTGTGTTTCGCACAAATGAGGCTTTATCTTGGCTTTACATCAGGACTGGAGAGCTGACCCGCCCTGCAGATCTTAGGGATCCATTTTCCCTTCCTTTGAAAACTGGAGAGTGACACGTTAGTAGAAATAGTTTAGAGATGGACACTAAAGATGCAGGTAAGGGCTGGACACGTTAGACACAAGCAGCTCCTGTTCGTAAGTACAAAGCAAAGCGAGAAGCAGCGCTGAGGAAGGGCCAGCGGCCAGAGCGCGATGCCTGGGAAAGTCACGCGCGTTGGGCATTAGCTGAATATTGGATGGTTTGTGGGGTGAAGGGGCTCCTGGGATCCCAGGCATCAGGTCTGGACTTATGGTTTACTTGGCATGCCGAGCAGAACGTGGGGGGTGTTTGTGGCCGGATGTCCGTGTCCTGGCCAGTGGCAGGCCTGTGCACTACAGGCCACTCTGTGAGGACCATAGTTCTTTGATCATGACCACGCCAGGCGGCTCACCCCATCTGAGCGCCTTGTATCCCTGGTCTTTTCATAAATGGAAATGTCTTTCTCTTTAAATAATTCCATTAATGAACGTGTATGGAATTGGGCCCAGTTCTAGGTGCTCGGTGCACAGCAGGGATCAAAATTGACAAACCTTCACCTTTCTAGCATTCACGGGGGGTCGGGGGGCAGTGGATGAGCATAGTGAGTGACACTGGCCGGAGGTGTTTTGGTGAGACACGGTGGGTACCAGAACAAGCAGAGCGGGGTGGGTGAAACGGTGAGAGAGCTCAGTGGATCTTAACAGAGGGCTGGGGCAAGGATAATGGGGCCAGAAGCTGAGGGGACGTGGCTGTGAGGCTCCGCAGAGACCGGACCGGTGTTGCAGGGATGGCTCCCGGCAGCCACATGGCTGGAAGGAGGGAGGGTCTCAGAGGGCAGGACCCCCTGACTGTGCGTGACAGCTGGGAGAATGGGTGTGGGCTGTTGTGGTCACAAGGAAGATGAGGACAAACCGGTGCAGTAGCACATGATCAAAGCAGTTCCTGGGTGCTGCCATTACACTGAACAGACTGTCCCAGCCGCCCCAGAGCTGCTGCTTGAATCTGCCACCTGATGTCAAGTGCCGTCCCGCCTGGCACTCCCCTAGGGGTTCCTAGGAACCCACCGTGGAGAAGCACTGAGCTTGCCTCAGGAGCACGGGCCACGGTGCAGCTTCAGAGCGTGGTCCTTTGTGCAGAGTGAGGCCGATGCAGCCGGCCTTGCGCGCCCTAGAGGTTGTGGCACTGTGGCCCCAGGGCTCGTGACTACGGCAAAAAGAGATTAAACCCTCATTTTGGTGTCAGAAGTGTTTGGGGTTTTCTGGTGACCCCTGTCTTGGGGTGTCTGGATGGTCAGAGGGAAGGTGACAGTGACCCACGGAGAACAGGGCTGGTGCTTCCTGTCTCTACTGCTGCCTTCCGTGTTTGGCCCAGGTGCAGTCTTCTCTTTAAGGAGCACTGCGGGGCAGCCACCCCGGAAGCAAGCTCCGCTCCTGTTCCGCTAATTGATCCCCACACCAGGCTGGGGACAGCCGGGAGGCAGCCACCTGTGGTCTCGGTCTCCCCATCAGACATAAAGCTCCGCAGTTCTCCTGTTACTCTCCACAGTCACTCCTGTTACTTAGGATTGTGAATTCTGGAGGTCTGGGGAGATAGACACCCACTTAACGAAAGGTGTTGAAGTCACAACAAGGGACAGCACTGCACCCCACAAATTGATAGGGTTTTCTGCATTTCGATCTGCATATGCAAATTCCCCGCCACTGACTTGCCTCCTTTTATGCCATTTTCAGAACCCACCTCATGAATAATTAACAAAGCAGCTGGTTTTTGCCTTTGTGGCTGAAATTAGGTGGAAACTGGGCTGAGAATGCATTTGTTTTCCTATTGCGTTTTCTGACCCAGCCATGGTTAATAACCAGCATTTCACTGTCATCAGTTTCCAGAAGCAGTTGCCCTCTGTTCTGTCTTTTTTTGCGTCTTTGCAAGTGCCCTAAGTTTGAATTCCAGACTCCTGAACAAAAACCCTAGAAAATGGAGCCCTGTGTGCAAATGCTACAGGGTTCAGGCCTCTGGGCCCCTGACGAGCGGACCAGCTGTGCAGGGCAGTACCTGACTTGGGGTCCAGAAAGCCCAAGCCGGTGATGGCGGTCGTCCCCTGCTCCTTGTGCTCGGTGGCCCCCACAGCTCCCGTTCTTACACTCAGCCTTTTGGGCGACTGTCTCCGAAGAGCACGTGCCTCTCTTCAGGGCTGAGTTGGGAGGAACAAGATCATGCACACCTTTTGGGCAGGACTTCGCTCCTTCCTGTGGCCTTGACCCACTGGCATCCCTGAGACACCCTCTGCCAGATCGGATGGCTACGAATAAATGTGATTTTATGAAAGAAGGGCAAAATAGCCATGGAGATTATTTTTAAATCAACATCCCTTCACTCCTCTGCCTCTGGCCACTAACCAGGAATCGGGGCTTCGCAGCTCCTGCGCTGACTGGCCGTGCCTTCTCCCGCCACCCTGAGCAGCCGCCTGCTCTGCTTCTGCACGCTCTTGGCCCTGCCCACACGAGCCACCTCCTGCCCCTGGGACAGGCCTACACACAGCTGCTGCCGCATCTGAAACTCTTCTCTGAATTACCCACATTTTGAGTCACCCAAGCACACGGGGACCACCGAATGTCGCTGCCCCTGCGAGATGGCCGCCTTGAGGGCCCGGGTTGCGTAAACATCTGCAGCGCGAAGTGCTGCCTGGCCAGTCCTCCGGGGAGGAAACGCTTCCTGCCATTTCTTGGCAAACTCATTATTCCTGTAAAGCTGTTAGTTGGGCACCTTCATCTCCTGGGACAGGGTGCTCCCTCGTCAGCCCTCAGGACTGAGGAGAAGGGGGGGGGAATCGCGGGGTGCTCTGCTTAAGCACGGGGTGTCATGGGGAGCTGGCCAGGAATTGAGTAAGCGGTTTTCAAGGCCGCATTCTTTGCTTTGGTTTGGCTGGTGTTGGCTTCAGCCTGGTTTATTTTAGACCAGGAAAGGGTCAGGGGTCAGGGGCAGAAAGGGAGGTTGCGGAAGGCGCTGGTCTCCTGGGTCATGGGCCGCAAACTCCTCTCCGGGGGCTTGAACACATAACTCTGCGTGGGACGCTGGCTGCCAGGAGTCTCCAGACAGCACAGGCCATCTGAAGTGTGAAAGATTTCCTTGAGAAAGCCAGTCCCCGGTTATTAAAAAGGGGAGTAAGCACAGACTTAAGAGAGGGGTGCAGAGGAGTTGCCTTGGTTATTATTTCTCATCGATTGGGAAAAGGAGTTCACTTTGCTCAGTAAACAGAGCTTTCGTGGATTCCCAGGATCCTTCCAGGAGCTGATCTGCTAAAATGACACTTTTTATTACTGTTCATAAACGCCAATCTCCAGGTGCTGGTGGGATATTAGGTTTAAGCTGTGGGCAAACTTGCCCGTCCAGTGGCTCGACCAGCGAGGGTGAGAGAGGCTGGTGTTTAGAGCCCGCTGCCAGCAGCCGCTGCAGAAGAGCAGGGCTTGCACATAAGTCAGCAGTGATGGGGATGCCTTCCAGAGCAGTCCCCTGCTGCCCTGCAGAAGTGAGAAACAGGCCAACAACCTGATTTTCATGGTTATTGCAAGATTTCCAAGGGGAACCAGGTATAGGAAAATCTCTCCCCGAAGGAAGGCCAGTTAAGGTGTCCTGGAAGCTCCACTCCCCGGGGGCCCATTCTGGCTTGTCTCTGGCCTTTCTCTGCTGGCGCTGGGGTCTAGCCTGTGCTGGGCTGTCTAAACTTAGCAGCCCTCAAAGAATAAATTGTCCATGGACTATATTAGAAATTTCATCATTTTCTTTCTCCTTTCAAAAATTCTGTTTTCATTTCATTCCTTTGAATAAGATACACTGTATCGGTCAGTCTTGGGGACTTGAGGATGAATTTGTTTTTTCCAGCATAGTGCTGGTGCCAGATCTCCCCGGGGAGGCGGCCTGCTGGCTGGGCAGAGAATCCTTTGAACCTTTTGAATTTTCTCACATTTGCATGTATTAGCTATTCAAAACCTAAACAGAATTTAACTAGGAAAAAAATGTTGCAATATAAAGGTCTAGTGATCTCATTGTTCATAAACAGATGATAACCTCCATTACCATGTCTCAGATTCTTCTCTCTTCCTCGCGTCTGTCCGCTTACGGTGTATTTATTGTGCTGCATGCTGGGACTGTGTTCGGGCCGTGGCTGTGATGGTGAGGATGACAGGGCCCTCGCCTGGGATTGCTGCAAGCCACACAATAAAATCTGAAGCGACATTGGCTTCCTCCAGTGACCACTGTGGCCCACAGATACGTTTTTGAGGAATCCGAGAAAGTGGTTGGGGGTTTGGCAATTGGTGTGTGCTGTGCTGGGTGTGCCAGGTGTGCCAGGTGCTGCCTGGGTAGCACAGCCGCCTGGCTGGGCAGGTGAGGTGACCCAGGCCCGCTCTGCATCCTCCTGCTGCTCTTTCTTTTCCAGCACTGCAGTCCTTCATCCGGGCTTACACAACCTACCCCCGGGGGCTGAAGCACATCTTCCATGTCCGGCTGCTCCACCTTGGGCACGTGGCGAAGAGCTTCGGGCTGAGAGATGCCCCCCGCAATCTTGGCACCTCTGCTCTAAAGAGGAGGAAAGCAAATGGGAAAAGGTAAGGCGAGCTGGGTGTATTCTGAGGCGAGTGGCTGTCCCGTGTGGAGAGCTCTGTTACGTCAGCTGCCGAGAGCTGCAGCCCACCAGCTTCTGCCCTCTGTCCGTGCAGTTAGTAAGTCTGAGTGGAACAAGAGAGACCTGCCTCCTCGGAATGTTTTAAGGCATCTGTGCTGGGGAAATTTGGTGGTGTCTCCTGCTGGGTGCAGATGCATTAGGGGTTATGGGAGCAACAAGACACATCTGTTGGGTGGTCTTCACTGCCCACCAGCAGAGTAAGGCAGGGACTCGCCCCCACCTCCCCCGGCCAGAACATCGCGTGTGCTGTGGTCCACCCTGGAAAGCTGTGTGTTCGGGGAAGTCAGCTCTAAGGCTCGTGTCGGTCTCCCCCTGTGCCAGCAGACTGGGAGGGGTTGAGCGCCCTGCTCTGGCCTCACAGGCTCTGTCCCCAATAGAGCCAAGTGGTCCAGAGGCGCCCAGCACTGCCGGCTGCTCTCCTTGGTGCTGATGTGCCCACAGTGCCCAGCATTCTTCAACGTGAGCTCACTGGACACCGGCGGCAAAGGCACGTTCAGACCTGCCCAGGGGTCACAGTGATGGGCAGTCAGAGTGAGGAGATTTGCCCTGCAGCTTGGAGCTTTGCCCTGCTGGACCTTGAGTCCATCTCCACCATTTCCAGGCATCCTGAGACAACTTCTGTCACAGGCTACGTACGGGAAAGGTCTCTCCTCAGACACGGGGTGTTCTTTCAGTACCAGCCCTCGCAGGACCCCTAGAGTGATCAGACAGCTCGAGCTGCTCATGTGGGACGTTGGGGGCTGAGAGTCATTACTGAGTGTGTGGCGGGGGCTGGGAGGACACATTCAGCTGGTGTCTGGGACCAGAGACCTGCCTTTCACTCACCCCCGCTTGACACAGAGCCTCGAAGGCTTGGGGCAGCTACCTGGCGTCGTGTGTCCTCTGTTTTATGTGGTTTTCACACATGCCAAACCTGCCCGCCCAGACTTGAGAACCTACAGCAAAGCCATGCTCCCCTACGCGGTCCGCACAGTGTGACTGCTCAGTCTCCAGAAAGTGTCGCCCACTCTGTCAGGCAGGGTGGGCCCAGTGTCTGGCGTGCAGGCACACGAGGGGCACAGAGATGAACCTGCTGTGGGGTGGCGCTGCTCTGGGGGCAGGCCTGGGGCTGCAGCCCCACACTGCTCTGCTGCGAGCTGGGACCTTGTCTTTGTTTAACGACACAGAGCCTCAGCCTGCTGCACGCTCAAGGGAAAAGGAAATTTTAGGCTTTTTCACTAGTTTAGAGAATCAAAATTAGGTGACTCGGTGGCCTTTTGCGCAGAAAAGGGCCATGCTGATCACATGACGTAGGACGGAGAGCTGGAGACCAGGTGAGTCATGATGCTGGAACCTGCAGCTTGGCCTGTTGGGGCCTTGCCACCCCCAGGCTCTTCACAGTGGGTCAAGTTGCAGAATTCTTGAACTGCTTGACGCTTTTCTCATGTCGATACCTCTCCCAGAACAGCACTGGGGTGATTCTGTGAGGCAGATGCTCTTCCCCGGGCTGCTGCTCTGCAGAGCCAGGCGAGGGTGGGGCGTCTGGCTCTGGCTTCTCCCGGGTTGTGGGAGGTGCAGTAGCTACACACCTCCTGCTCCGGCAGCCGGGGTCTTCCCTGCACCCTCTGTTGGAGCCCGGCCCTCCGCGAGGTGACCTTGGACTGCAGAGCTGGGCTCCTGTCTTCAGATGTGGCGTCTGCACAGAGTAACCCTGATGAGTGCGTGATGACCACAAAGCTCCCGGGGGGGAGGGGGGCGCAGGACCGGTGACTTCCTGGGACCCCAACCCTCTGTCACCATCTCTAAGGTGCTGATGCTCTGAGAAGGGAGGACGGGGCCTGTGAGAGACTGATACATTTTGTTTCTTCCTCTCTCTGCAAATAACCGCATGCGCCCCCAGTGTTGTGTTGTCAGCAGATGAGGTACTCCTATGACTGCGGTCTCGCTCTCAAGCGTTAGCCCAGTCGTCGGCTCTTCACGCGGGTCCTTAGCCCGTCCCGGATCCAGGGAGGCAGAGTGGGAGGCGGGAGGCAGAGGGGAGGGGGCCGGGCGCCAGCATTGTTCTTACCTTGAGAAGCCACCAGGGAGGAGCGAGCCTCTGCCTCCTGCTTCGGCCGACCCTGGCCAGCAGATGGGCACCAGGACGGCCGTCCCCCTGTGAGCGGGGGATTTAGCGGGGCTTTCTTCGGGGAAGAATGGGCTGATTAGCCGGTAAAGAGCATGTAAGATGGTATGGGGCAGCCTTTGATGTTGGCTGGCGCGGCGGGGAGCGGCTGGTGAGTGACAGCAGCGTGTCACAGGATTACTCTGCCGCGACAATGCTGCTCTCTGTTCTTGCCATGTCACCACTCTGTTCCAGCTACTTTCTGTGGCCATGCCCTTCTTTTGAAGGCATTTCTCTCCACACTCCTTAAGTCCTCCCGCCCAGCTCTGCGTTGCCCGCGCAGACGGGCGCTCACGGATACAGTAGGTACCTTTTTTTTATTTGGGGGAAATCTTGTCGCTCCTGGAGCAAGAATGACTTTGCAGCTAATCTGCACATGGACCGTGTCATTGTTGTCAGGGCAGGTGGCAAAGAGAACTTGACAGATTTTCCACACCTCGATCAGGGCTCACGCCAGTGCCAGTTGCTGCTTTTTGAGGACTAGAAAGAAAGGTCCATTAAAAAGTATGCGAGTTATGCTGTGGCCTTGGTGATTGTTTTGAGCTGAGGCGTCTCCTCTGAAATCCATCTGTCAGGAGAGAGAATGGGATCCTTATGTTTTTTGTATGGGGTGATAAAATAATGGCCCTGAATGCTCTCAGTCCACGTTCCATTTTATGGTGTTTGCTGCCTGGAACATTCTATGCGGGCTTCTGATATCTGCGGATCAAAGTCTCACCTCACCTGTCAGGTGCTGGGCAAGGAGTACGGCTGGTGGCAGAGTATGAGGTCAGGATGGGTTAGGGCAGGGGGCAGGAGGTGGCCCTCCGCAGTGGCCTTTATTTCTTTACTGAATCACTTTTCAGAAAAGACAGTGGATGTCCCCCAGTGAGGTCTTAATCACTGGGTCTCTTTTTCAGTCCTCAGTTGGGGAGGGAACACTAAACATCTTCCCCCACCTGACGCAGAAGACAGTCATAGGGCCTCCCTGGTGGTGCAAGGGGTTAAGCACCACACTATGAAGCAATCCACAGCCTCTGCAGCACGAGTTCCATCCCCAGCCGGCCAGGGAGCAACCCACAGGGCGCAGCAGACCTCTCCTGTCTCGCCCGCTGCTCCCCTCAGCAGTGTATCTCAGTGGATCTGCCTGTTCTGCTCCCCACTCTGTCTCTGGTGAATCCTCTCACCCCCTGCATCTCTGGCCTATACCCCAGCTCTTGTATGCATAAATAAATAAATCTTAAAAAAAAAAAAAAGACAGTCATAGGCGCAAAACCTCTGTGACACCTACACGCACCTGTGGAGTACCCCCCCACCCAGTGCCTTCAGGCGTGTACACAGGTAGTTGTGCTGTTGGTAAAATATTGAATGGCCCCTCAGCAACATCCGTCACCAGCACAGTGTTTTGCTCCCATGAGATGCAGCTATTTCGAAGCAAAGGTAACATGCTTTCCAAAATTGCGGTCTCTCCGCAAGCTGCTGAGACCCAGCACTCTCTGCTGTGAGAGGCGGAGTTGCGTTTTCCATGGCCGGTCTGCCTGGGCGGGGGCACCCTGAGCAGAGCACATACAGGAAGAGTGAGCTGGCACCCAAGGAGCCTGGGAGTCTCTCTTCTTGCCAGACACTGTGGGTGGGTTTAGAACGTAGAAACGGACGCCTGAGTCTTGGTGACACCATGACTGAAGGGGCGAGTCTGCGTCTGAGCTTCCCTGTCTTGTGTGAGCTACATGCTCTCCCCAAGCGCTGCTCCCCAAGTCTGTAGCTACCTCAGATGGCTGACTGGTCTGAGTTTTGGCTCTGCCATCTGTGTCTTTCTGATGTGCTTAATGCAGTTGGAAACATCTGAAACATATTTATCAGGAACCGTCCTGTATCTAAGAGTTTAATTTTGTTTTTTGTTCATTTGCTTTGTCTCTTTATACCCCACGTAGGAGTAATGTCATGCCGTGAATGGTGTTTCTGTTGACTTATTCCACTTAGCATAATACCCTCGTGGTCCATCATGTTGTTACAATTGGCAGGATTTCATCTCTTTTTTCATTGCTCAATAGTATGTCAGTGTGTGTGAGAGAGAGAGAGATACAGACACCCGGGTGGTTTTCATACCTTGGCTCTTGTAAGCAAGGCTGCAGTGAACATCGGGGTGCATTCAGCTTTGTGCAGGCCCCCAGAAGTGGACCGGCTGGATCGTCTGGCAGGTGCACACTGACTTTTCGAAGCTCGCCGCCGTTTTCCGTCATGGCCGCCCCAGTTCACCTATCACCTGCAGTCTCTGTGGGTCCCCTTGTCCCCACGTCCTCGCCTTATTTGCTGTCTTTCTGATACTGGCCGCCCTCACGGGTGGGAGTGGCTGTGCTGCTGTGGCTCTGAATTGCGTTTCCCTAGTTGGGGGATGGGGGTGGGGGCGGGGGCGGGGTCTTTCCTGGCGCCCTTGGCCCGCAGCGTTTCTCCTTTGGGGACGTCTGTTCCGCGCCTCTGCCCTTCTTCAAGTCAGGTTGTTTGTGGGCTTTTGTTTTTGAGTTTTAAGAGTTTTTTTCCCTGTGTCACGGATACTAGCCCCTGTCTTGCACATCAGTGGGTTGGCGTTTCGTGTTGCTGCTCTTTTCTTTGTTTTTGCAGAAGCTCGTCAGGTCATGGCCCATGTGTTTCCTTTGCTTCTGCCCCCCGGCTGGGGTGCCGGGTGCACAGAGACCTCGCTGAGTCCAGCGTCCGGAGCACGCCCTGGTTTCCTCTCTGGGCTTGTGGTTTTGGTCTTACATTCAAGTCCTTACCCACTTGGGAGTGAATTTCGCACATGGTGT